TATGCGACAATGGAAGAGGACTCGAAACAATCTTTAATTCAGCATCGACATTCAGTTGCCACATCAAAAAGACTGAAAAAAATCCAGGAGCAGGAAAGCTAGAGAGGGGGGGTGTAATAGTACGTTTCGAGTGTGGCTGTTATTACCAGCAATGAGGGCTATCGTAGGAGTGCTGCCCGAACATGTTATCAAAATCAATTGATAATTCGCTTATGTTCGAAAAAGTCGTCGCCTCTTTGCTCACTGATGCGGCTGAATCCACTTTATTGCTGCACGCGGCTGTACCTATTCAGCACTACTATATCCACCGTACGTGCGGAAGGAGACGGTGACGGTGAATAAGTATATGTAGCCGCATGCAGCAATAGAGTAGATTCAGCCGCATCAATCTAGTGAAGGAGGCGGCAAACTATTTCGAAACAGCGAATCAGCAACTAATTTTGATAACCTGTTTAGAAAGCTTTATTCAAATGTTTATATGTTTTCCTATGGGAATGGTCATAGAATGTATCTCGCAGCCGGTTAGTACCTAGCGACCCTGTAGTTTGCTCGTACAGCAGTCAACAGCGGAACTGGCAGAATGATTCCCTTCGAATGGGACGTGACGTTATAGCGTTATAAGGTCACAACCAACTGTTGGCAATTTGCCAAACCTCAGCTTGAACTTTCGTGTAAAAGCTGCTTGCGTCGTTTTCACAATCGAAGGGAACTATGCCGCCAGTTCTGCCATTCACTGAAGTAATTCGTGATAGTCGACTTTTCTGTGATCTCCTACCACTACCACTAACTCACATATGCACCCACTATCTGTTCAATTCCCTTCCTCTCTCTACTTTTCCCTCCTCTTCCTTCCACATAAAAGAGGCTGCTGGATTGGAGCACAGCGCCGGAGACGCGGGCCATCGCCTTTCGCTCCGCCCTGCCGCCGCGGCGCCGTGAAGAAACCGCGCCGCATACGCGCATGGGTGAGTTTTTCCCTCCTCCCCTCTCCTCTCACGTAGCTTCACGCAAACCGTCGGCACCAGAAGGAGACCCGAAGCGAGAAGGGTGCCGTATAACGGTAGGAGGGTTCTCCCTATGGTTAGCCACTCGTTCGCTTACACTCTCTTACAACATGCGGCGAATGCCGTTTGGACGCACGCAATTTCGGCAGCGAGCTCATAATACAAAGGCGAGAGGATAGCGCCTATCGCTAGAGTCGACCACCCCGCCCACCTGGCGACCACGACGCCCAACTTCATTTCTAATGGTTGCCTGATGGTGCGGTTGACTAGAAGCTAAATTCAGTATTACCGCCACGGTACCGTAACCCAAGCGGCGCCCAGTTGATTGTAACTCCGCAGTGCACGTACGTATAACACCGAACTTTACGCCGGTACCACTATGGGAATTGTGCGGAAATGCTTAATACACTGCAGTGTTCGACGATGGACGGAAATTTCATGCACATTTCACTTATGAATTTTTCGTCTCGACATTGAGGCTGATCTGATGTTCTTGATCTGATGTTTGGCATTGCGCAGCGTAAGGGAATTCATAACGCTCACAACGCTTCTTTCTATTCTATTTACATTTGGAGAATAATTACATGAATATAAAGAGCCGAATTACTTTTAACTTACTCCAGACCAGAGAATTGTTTCACAAGTGCTTTCCCCAACCTATTCCATGAAATTTAACTGCACGCGTAGTGATTGCAGAAGCGAAAGACGCCACTATTACAACTAGACGTAAAAAGTAGCGATCTGATCACTGACGTGACATTTTTCGTGACGGTACCATTTGGCGTCAGTTTGGTGCAGCTACAGTTCGGACTCAGTTCTGGTGCAACTAGGAGAAAAAATTATTCCCAGTTCGAAAAGTCGTAGTTGTGAACGCGACCAACTACATGCAATACCACCTATTCTACCTTTCGAGGCGATGAGGCTAATAAGTCGACCGTAGTAAATTATTGTATACTACAGCAAACTTGGGAAGCCGTCTCTATCCAACACTGGTTAGCATCAAACGTGCAGCACCATCAAAGTGCTTGAAGCAAGGGTAATAGAAGGATAGATCCGGCATCCTCACATCGAAGTCCTCACAACGACATCCGAAACACACATCCGTTTTCTTCCACCCAGAAAAAGGAAATAACGGCGTAGTTTCAGCGTCCGTGCTGAAGTTTTTAGCGCGCCTACGACAGACTTCCAATTTAAAGGGCGCCGCTTTGGGTTACGGTACCGTGGCGGTAATACTGAAGTTAGCTTCTTGTGTGCGACTGTTCCAATGCTGCTTCCTTAAGCACGTACAACCGCTGTTCGGAATGAAACTCCTTATAGGGCATTTTGCATGTTTT